AGGCTTTAAAACTTTTTGTCATTTCATGGGATTAATCTGAACAAACTAAGTCTAAACCTCAGTTAAACCCTCAGGTGTATTGGAAATTATGTTTCCATTATCTTATTATGAATGCTGAGGTTAGGAATCCCCTTAACAATGTAAAACCATACTGTTTTGCCAAATTTTTACAGAAAAATAGCTCTGTGTGTTCTACCAATGTCAAAACATTTGAAGGTAGAGTGCCTAATTTAATCACAAAAGGTAAACCTAAACCTACAAGTGAAGAATGATATGAAGATTTGTCATAGGAAGCCTTGGCAGAATGTAGGGGGAGACATCGTTTCTTTTTGTTGGGTGGGAGTCCAGATTATATTTAAATGGCATTATACTGAAATTTGTTATAAAATTAGCCAGCTCTTTCCCTTCAGTTTGACTGTATTGATACAACTTTTAAAGTGATAACTTTGTTTGCATTATAAGCATTGCCTAAACTACACTCCTCGTGTCAGTGAGTGCTGTGTCCTATACTAACTTATTCAATCCTCACATCGAATATATGAGGTAAAGGATGTCATCCTCACTTTGCAATTGAAGAAACTGAGGCAGCACTTTTGGAAGGAAAAGCCATTTGTAATTATCTACTTTAAGTTTCTACTGCTAAAATATTTTACTAGTTTTGAGCCATATGTAGTGGCTCATTCCTGTAATCCCAGCACTTTGGGAGATGAAGGTGGAAGTATCGTTTGAACACAGGAGTTCTAGACTAGCCTAGGCAACATAGCAAGGCCTACATCTCAACAAAAAATAAAGTAATTAGCAAGGTGTGGTAGTGTGCACCTGCAGTCTCAGGTACTTGGGAGACTGAGGCAGGAGGATTGTTTGAGCCCAGGAGTTCAAGGATGCAGTGAGCTATGATCATGCCACTGAACTCCAGCCTGGGCAACAGAGCAAAATCCCTCAAGAAAAAATGTTTATGATTTTTACTGTAATTTTATTATAAAGTTACTGATTGTTAGAAATACTAGGGTATAAAAATATTTTGCATTCAAGAAACTGAAATATTTAATGTGGTCTAGAATGCATACATATATGAGAATGGTAAAAGAGACTAGAGAAATTCAAATTATAAATATCTTATTTTATTCAGCATGCCTGGGCATTTGTTCTTTTATCCATAGTGCTGTGGCATCATTAAAAAATTTTAAGCTTGTCATTGACTTGATTAGATTGTATTTTAAGTCTAATGGAAAGAATTGGGCTGGAACATGACTTTAAGCTCCAGTTCCTTCACTAAATAAGCAAAGAGGTTTTACTTGTTTGTTTTTAACTGTTTTACATTTTTAAATGAATTGTGATACATATGAAATATATATATACACACACACTCACACATATCATTAAGTTATAAAGCATAATGATATAATGAATAATTAAGAAGGCAAGCACCAGTATTTCTAACTTCCATTTACCCATGTTCTCCCTTGTACCATTCCCCTTCTTCCCCTGACAGTTATTTTCCTGAATTATGCTTTTTTAGATTATAATGTTATCTTTTTTAGATACAGTGTTTTCATAAACTATATATAATTTAGTTTTGCTTTATTTTAACCTGTGTGTTGTTTTCTTGGGGTTTGCTTTCTAAAGTCACATTTTGTTTCTAGGGTTTATCTATATTGTCATATCACTGTAGCTGTAGTTTATTCGATTTCACTGCTGAATAATATCTGTGAATATACTACAGTTTATTTGGTTTCCTGCTAATGAAACACTTCGGTTATTTCTAGTTTTTGCTATAACAAATAATGCTACTACACACATTCTTGTGCATATACAAGCTCCTCTAGGAAACATACCTAGGAGTCACATTGCTGGGTTGTTGAGTATGAGAATATTCACCTTTACAAGATAATGCCAAATTGTTTTTCAAAGTGGACATACAAAGGAATATTTCCATTATTAATGTATAAGCTCTCTATTGATCCATAATCTCTCCTACCTTGGTATTATCAAATGTCTGATTTTTGCCAATCTAGTATTTTAAAATGGTGTCTCATTGTCATCTTCATTTACTGTTCTCTAATTACTAATTGGATTGAGAATTACATTGTTTGTTTGTTTGGCCATATACATGTCCTATTCTGTGAAATATCTATGCCCATTTTTCTAGTGTTTTAATTGATTTGTAGAAATTCTTTATATATTCTAGAATATAGATAATGTTGTAAAATATCTTCTTGCAGTTTGTGGTTCATCTTTTTAATTTCTTTGTTTTCTTTTGAGGAAAAAAATTCTTAGTGTGGAATTTATCAATATGTTTGTGTCTTGTTTGAATCCTTCTCTTCTGCAAGATACTATATGGCTAATGATTTGCCTGAGATTTTATTGTATTTTCTGTGTAAGTAATGCCAATTGCATTTCTTTCCAGTTCTTATCCATCTAATTAATTTATTGTTCTTTATTACTATGTTAAGACCTCTAATGCACTATTTAATTGAAGCCCAATTATTTAATTGTAGAGGTCATCCTTCTCATGTTTCAATCTGATAATCTATGTCTTTTAAATAGTAAGTTTAGTTTATTTACAATTGCTGTGAGTATCGATGTAATTGGATCTACTTTCTACCATCTTAATTTTTATTTCTAGTTGTGCTTTTTTATTTTTGTTTCTTTTTTTGATTGAATGAGGTTTTTTCTTATTCCATTTTTATTCCTATTTCAGTTATTTTAGAGAATTGCCCATATCACTTAAAAAGTTCAAAGCCAAACAATGTTTAACCTCTCCTTTTTTACATTGTATGGACTTCATATGCTGAAGCTTCATTCAGCCTCCTCCTGGTTCACAATGTTATTGTTAATATCATTATTTTTGTTCTGTCCTTTATTGTCAGTCTACAAATTAGTTACTATTACTGTTTTTGTTTTATACAGGCAACATTTATCTGGATTTGCACAGATGTTTACCATTTTCTTTACTCAGTGTTTTATCAAATATATCCTTTAGGAATTCCTTTAATTTGGTCTCTTGTTGCCATATGTTCAGTTTTCATTTGTCTATTAATGTTTGTCACTTTTTTCTTGATATGTTGTTCTGCTGGGTTCACAATTTTAGGTTGCCAGTCTGTTTTTTGTTTGTTTGTTTGTTTGACACTTGGAAGATATTATTCTAGTGTCTTCAATATTCTGTTGTTGCCAATGGGAAGTCTTTGGTCATTCTAATTACCTTTTCATTGTATATGATCTGTCCCTTCTCCATGACTTCTTTTAAAATCTTCTCTTTATCTTTGGTGTTTTGCAGTTACATAAATATGTAATAGATCTAGGCACTGATTTGTTTGTGTTTATCTTGCTTGAGACACATGATGTTTCATGTATCTGTGGCTTTTTATAGTTTAAAATAATTTCTGGAAAAGTCATTAGCATTATCTCTTTAACCACTCCCTCTGTTCCATTCTCTTTGTTCTCTCTTCCTCGAACTCCTATCAGTCATTTGATCTCTATATCTCTGAATATTTTTGTGTTTCTTTTATTATTTCTTGTCTGTGCTACATTTTACATTGAGTAAAAGTGGGATGTGACAGTGGGAAATCATTAATGACTTAGAAGTTCCAGTTGGTCATTGGGCCAATTTTGATGCCACTTTCTCTCTTTTATTTCTCACTTTAAAATAAAATTTGCAAAAACAAGAAAATAAATATAGTATGAGTCCAATTACTGGCCTAAGGAGCTAAAAGCATTCTGGGTTTGTATGATGACAGCTGAGTTATAACAGATGAGAGTTCTATTCTGTTATTGCATTAATTATTCCCTCTTTAAATGTACAAGAGCAAGACATTCTACCTGACTCTGTTATTGAGCTCTACAGCATACATGTGACAGAGCTAAAACAAACAAACAAACAAAAGAAACCATAGCTTTAGGATACTCTGTTCATGAATATAGCCTGAAAGTGATAATCAAGAAGTAAACTTTTACCACTATTAAGGAACATTAAACTGCCTATCTCTCAGTGAATTTCAGAATGATATTTTAAGTCAGTTTAGGCTGTAATCCCAGCACTTGGGGAGGCTGAGGCGGGCGGATCATGAGGTCAGGAGATCAAGACCATCCTGGCTAACACAGTGAAAACCCATCTCTACTAAAAATACAAAAAATTAGCCCGGCCTGGTGGCAGGCCTCTGTAGTCCCAGCTACTTGGGAGGCTGAGGCAGGAGAATGGCGTGTGAACCCAGGAGGCGAAGCTTGCAGTGAGCCGACATCACGCCACTGCACTCCTGCCTGCGTGACTGAGCAAGACTCCGTCTCAAACAAACAAACAAACAAACAAAAATTAGTTTAAGCTGAGCACTGTAGCTCATACCTATAATCCCAGCACTTAGAGAGGCCAGGGCAGGAGGATCACTTGAGCCCAGGATTTTGAGACCAACCTGGGCAACATAGCAAGACACGATCTCTAAAAAAAAATAATAATAAAAAATCTTAGCTGGATATGGTGGTGTGCACATGTAGTCCCAGCTACTTGGGAGGCTGAGACGGGAGGATCACTGAGTCCAGAGTTTGAGGTAACTGTGAGCTATTATTACGCTGCTGCAGTCTAGCCTGGGTGACAGAGTGAGACTTCATCTCTAAACAAACAAAAAAGTAAGTTTGTCAAGGAAATGAAAATAGTGAATGTAGTCCTATCAGAGATTCAGATTTTTGAAGATGCTGATACATAGAAGATTGGAAGACATGAATATCTTAAATGTTAACTACTTTTAATTCATTGGTCTAAGACTCAGTATAACTGTCATGTGTAAGATTTTATTATTTGTTTTATGTTGCTTCTGTATATACCTTAAGGTGTTTAAGAAAATGTCTTGTTTCAAACTGGGATTAAGGAAGTTAACTGTAGTCTTTAAAAAAAAAATCCTTAGAATAATTAAGAGAAATTATTATTGTTGTACCAAGCCTGTGGTTAAGAAGACATATTTATATATTTTTCTTTCTTTTTTTTTTTTCTTTTTTTTTTTTTTTGACAGGGTTGTTACAAGTTGAGTTGAAAACAAGAAAAACTTGCTTTTGGCGCCATCAAAAAGGAAAGCCAGATACTTTCCTTTCTACAATTGAAGCCATTTACTACTTTCTGGTAGACTACCATACTGATATATTAAAAGAGAAATACAGAGGGCAATATGACAATCTTTTATTTTTCTATTCTTTTATGTACCAGTTGATAAAGAATGCCAAATGCTCTGGAGATAAGGAAACAGCAAAACTTACACATTAGTTTTTAACAAGCCACTTATGTCTTTTTATTTTGCTAACATTAATAAACTTATATTTGTGCTTTGTTTTTTTCTTAATAATCATATATAATGCCTGTAAGACCATTTGAAAAAATTCCAGTTTTATATATATTACTTCATATTTCTTAATGGGAAGGAAATTGTATCTAGGGGAATTTTTCAGAGATACTGTTGATAGAAAAACTTACTTCAGAAGTTATTTGCTCAGTGAAACCTCAGTTTCATTACTGCATTTTAATATAGTGTGTTATGTCTTGTGATTAGATATATTCAGTTAGATCTAATTAGCTATTTATTTCAAAATCTTTATATCTTTTCACCTGTACTCATGACCACCTTTAGAAGTAAATGGGGTTACAATCTATGGCTGAAAAATAGGTCATAAGTGATTTTTCTTGAGGTTAGTAGCAAACATAGGCAAAACTCGAATTAGAGTTCCAGTGTCTAGGGCTGTTTCTTTAAGCCCTAAGGTTGTTAAAAGCAGAGACTCTGGAGCTAGACTACCTGAATCTAAATCTCAGCCTTTCTGCTTATCACCCATGTCATTTTCTTCCATTTGTACAAAGCAGGCGATACTGAGTAACTACCTTATAGGATTAACTGGGAATTAACTGAGTTAATATCTTAAGTGGCTTTCAGCAGTACCTGAAATATAGTAAGTATCATATATATATATATATATATATTTTTACTCTTTTTATTTTATTTGGAATTGCAAACTAAGAATAATTGAAGCCCAGCTGCTAGTGGCCATCTCTGCTGCCAGATAAAAAGAGCCTGATTTAGAATGAAGTCAGCAAACGAAAGCAGAGTGGAGAAAGACTGAGTCCTGATGACATCATTTATTCACCTAGACCTAGCTGCTTTTGAATAGAGCCCTACTGTACTGAATAGCTTTTGTCTGCTCTTTTCTATTCTACTCCCTGCTCTGTGAGGTAGATTCCCTTGCTCTCTTGCTTTTGGTTGGGTTCAACAAATGGGAAGCACCAATGGGAGACTAGAAGTTGAGAGGAAAATGAAATGATGTTATTTATTTCCCTGGCTCCTTTCCTGCCATGTCATCATCAGTTGACTGTGTTCCTCTACAAAATAGTACCCTATCAGGAATCCTATCCCTTCTGTTCCCAAGCAGTTATCCCAGTTACCTCACTAGGTTTAGTTCCTGCTCCCTCCCGTTACCCCTTTTCACTTAGGGCTGGTAATAGCTTACAGTTATGACTAGCCCCAGGGTAGTTCACTAACACTTGTTGCTTTCCCTAAACCCTGCTAATACATTTGTAATACTGAAGTTGTTTTATTACAGTCTTCTCAAATGTCCCCATTTGAAGTTGCCTTCTATTTCTTTTGGGGACTCTGATAAATTCACTTGTTTGGGTGAAATAATAGCACATTTCCTGAAGTCTTTACAGTGGGACACATCATGTATTATGGGGGAAAGAGTTCTTGGTGAAATTAGTTTGCTGTACATTACTTTGTTTCCCTCCCAGGGATTCAGAAGGCAAAACATATTAAAGGTTCTGAAAAGTCCTGAAATAAACATTTTGAACTTTATTTAAGCTGATATATCTTAAACTTACTTGAATATGTAGCACCTATTAACATCCCATGGAAATAGGACATTTGGAATATTGTAATTAAGAGCAATTCCTACTAATATACATGGGGCAACTGAGAATTAAAGAGGTAAGTAAATTGTTGATAGATCATACACCTAGTTAGTAGCAGAGCCTGTTCTAGAATCTGGAACTTCTGATTTGGTTTGGTTCAGTAAGGCCACCACTGTATTATGCTATTCATAAAAAGGAATGTGGATTATATAAGGTTTGAACATTATTAGTCTTGTAGTCTTAGCCAAATAAACTAACTGGCTTGCTTATTTTAGCAGTTATTTTACAAGAATGGAATTAAAATAGATTTTTTTTCATGTTTAGAACTTGGCCCTGGGAATAGAGGAAGGCTTGAATTGATTTAAGCAGGGCCAAAGTTGGATTTCTCTAGGCTAAATTTGGACTTCCCTGAGCCAAAATCTATTGCATTTAACTGGCTTTACAAACCAACTAAACATAACAGTTCAGAGGGAAAAGAAAAAAAAGCGAGAGACGGAGAACAATTCTATCACTCATTTGCCTCCATCTCTCAGCTGGCATAAGAAAGATGACCCACGTACTTCATAAGAGGCTAATTTACAGCTAAGGCCAGATAAAATCTTAGGTTCTTTTAAAAAGAAGTTAGTAATACCTGTTAGAACAATGAATTGACTATACTTGTCTTGTTTTTTTTTTTTTTTTTTTTTGGTGTGATAGATGTAACAATAGCCCTAATTCTTTATTCTTCCCTGTATTCGTGGTCATTTTTCAGGTTCCTTTGAAGTACTCCCCCCTACTGTGATTCTGGGTCATCTGCATCCAGAGATTTAGTGCATTTTTACTTACACTTGTGCTTCTGCTGTTGACATAAGAATATGCATGGCTGAGTTAGCCTGCTGGAGGATGAGACATCCATGGAGCAGAGCCAGGTTGCCCTGCTCACCCTCACTGAATCCTGTCTAGATTGGCTGATGGCCATCCAAACCCAAGATATGTGGATGATTCCAGCCAAGTTCAGCAGAGTCATCTGACTGACACCTACCTGATTCCAAATATGTGAGCAAGGAGTCTATTATGCCACCAATGTTTTATAGCTATTTATTGTGGCATTATTGTGGCTGTAGATACCTCGTCTTTAGATGCATTATCAGATCATCATCTTCAAGTACCTTAGAAGATTCTCAGTCTCATGTTTCTTGTGCTTTTGACCACTTGCTTTGCCTTAGCTACCACCTCACGTAGTAACAGATTACCAGCAGGCTTGTATGATTCCTCTGCTTGAGATCAGTTAGCCATATGTTCAGAATTCCTGGCCTATACCAACACTTCTGGACTTTAAAAACCCCATGCCACAGTGACTGTTAAAAGGGCTAGGTGATGCGGTCTGGTGGGTTTGTGAAGTTAACTGTCTTGATAAACTTGGATCAATGGACTAGAAAAAGCTGCTGGGTAAATTGCTCTTCTTCTGATGGACTGTATAGAGACACTGCTTTTCATCTTGCCTGTCCAGAAGTGTACTGTGTGGCCCAGCAAGTGTACTTGCTACATGATTGGCAGCGTCTCTTCATGGCTTTTCATGAAACAGCAGCAAGTGCTACACAGTAATTTGTCAATTTGCATTTGCCTCCCATTATTGCTATCCTCACTTACTTTCTTCCTCGCTCTTACCAGCCTGGATTGTACCTTTAATAAAGTAGTGAATATATTTCCTTTAGGGTCTCTTTTCTAGGGAAGTCAGATGTTTTAGTCTGGATTTAGTTAGAAAAGCAGCATCATTACAAATATTACATGAATAAAGAAGTTTAGTAAATAAAGGTGAGAATTTACTAAATGTGAGAATTTAGTATTCTCACAATGTGAGAATGTGAGAATTACTGGGGTAATAAAGGTCTGGAAGGCCGCAGCAGGAGAGATTTAGAGAAGCAGTGACTAACTAGGTCAGCCGGAGATTCTCAAAGTACTCATGACTTCATTTGTAGAAACATGTATATCTTAAGCATATCAAGCATCTCATTCTCTAATCTTTCTAGAAGCCTTTTGGTTCATCCTGAAGGTCCCCCTAAATCCCTTCAGAAGTCTTAAAAAGGAGTAAAAGGCCACACCTTTTATTAGTTCTTTTCTTTGAGGCCATGTTAATGGCAGTCCCCTTGATTTGGTCTTTGTACTAGGCTGTTTTTAATGATCACATTTTATTTGATGAGAAACCATTTTATTTTCCAGTTCTGCATATCCTAGGTTATGTATTTCATTTCAGTTCCATTTGCATACCCATTGCCTTAATTTTGAGCTTGTCTGTTTCTTAACATTTCTTATTTTGAAAGAATAAGTTGATTATTATTAAGTATAATAGATAAGGTACTTAAGAGCCTCAGAATATCACCAAATGCCATGAATGCATTAGGTACATTTTTTGTCTTCCATGTTACTGGAAGCATTAATTATAGCAACTTTTTATCTCCAAATACTGTCTCTGTCTCTTGCTTTTTTTTCTTTTGCCTCTAAACTGTTATGTTTAGTTGGTTTGTAAAGCCAATCGAAAGACCCTAGTGAAAACTTTAGCCAAATACTGACCCTACATTGAAGGCCACCAGCCAAAAATCACCACCCATACATAAGAGCCAAACATCACTAGACACTTGGTGAAATGCTTCAAATAAAAAAGGGGAAAAGGAGGGGAGAAAATCCAAAGGATATAGACAAACAGAGAATAATGACAACAAAAAAACAACTATCTTCAAAATAAGAGAGAGTATATTGTATTCACAAAACAAGAATAGGAGAGTGTGAATAAGAACAAGCAATAAAAAGATCTCAGAAATTTAAAAAGTGATTGCTGAAATAAAATTTAAATATAAGAGTTGAAGATAAAATATAGCATAAGAATAGAAAATTCTGAATTCCAAATACCGAAGGCCAATCTTAGTTAAAAGTTGTAATTGCAACCATAGGCTGCATGTTACATTGTATTTAATTAAAAACCTTAAAGGGAAAGACAATAGAGCTTGTAATAGCTATTACCCTTGGTTGTAAAGGAGAAGGTTGGAGATTATTTGTATACCAACTACATAAGTTTACAAAAAATAATAAGTATTAGGTAGATGGAATGAAAGTGTATTCATACACTGTATATTAAGCTCTATATACACTGCATATCGTCATCATGAAATTGAGTTTCTAGCTGGATTGCAGAGATGAGCCAAAGGGCTTCTCCCCAAATCATTATTTATTTATTTTTGAGACAGAGTCTCGCTCTT